TGCTGTGTCCCCCATGTCCCATGTCCATCCCATGTCCCCCCTGGGTCCACCCCGTATCCCGCTGGTGTCCCCACCATGTCCCCCCATGTCCCCCCCGTGTCCCCACCAGGATGGAGTCGTTGTGCGCCCGCACGGTGGCCCCGAACCACTGCAGGGACTTGAACTCGACGGCGTCGCTGCCGTTGCCACCGAGGTCGTGGCTGCGGGTGCCTGGGGACGGGGACACGGGGGGGACATGGCGATGGTCACCCGTGGGCGCCGCGCTGGCACCCGGGTGGCCCTGGCCCCGCCGTGGCCCTTGGGGGGGACACAGGGCGCGCGGGACCCCCCTGCCCGTCCCATGGCCGGGTGACCCCGGTCCTGTCCCCACGGGTCCCCACGCGCGGCTGCGCCCCGGTCCCCACGCCGTGTCCTGCGCTCGTCCCTGTCCCCATGGCCCCTTGTCCCCATCCCCATGGCCCCGTCCCCAAACCTGTCCCCATCCCCATGGCTCCCCGTCCCCAAACCTGTCCCTGTCCCCACGCGCGCAGCTCTCCGTGCCCTCTCCCCAAAGCCCATCCCGGTGCCATCCTCCACCCCACGCACTGTGTCCCCCAGGCCATCCCTGTCCCCATGTCCCCACATCCCCCTGTGCCCAGCGCTGTCCTTGTCCCCATGTTCCTATTCCTGTGGCCACCAGCCCCACAGTCCCCCCGTCCCCACGGCTGTCCCTGTCCCCATGTCCCCATCCCTGCGGCCACCAGCCCCGCGTCCCCCCTGTGCCCAGGACTGTCCCTGTCCTCATGTCCCTATTCCTGTGGCCCCCAGACCCACATTGCCCTGTTCCCAGGGCTGTCCCTGTCCCCATCCCTGTGGCCACCAGCCCCATGTGCCCCTGTGTCCAGCACTGTCCCTGTCCCCATGTCCCTAGACTGTCCCTGTTCCCATGTCCCCATCCCTGTGGCCATCAGCCCCACATCCCCCCGTCCCCAGGACTGTCCCCATGTCCCCACATCCCCAGCGCTGTCCCCAGGTCCCCAGCGCTGTCCCCACGTCCCCGCGCCCTCACCGAGGTGGTCGAACTCGATGGGGCTGCAGGCGCCGGGCTGCGGGTGCCAGGGGCAGTAGTAGACGGCGCCACCCTGGGTGACATCGGCCTGGCTCGTGTTGGCCTTGGGGGCCCCCACCAGGATGCTGAAGCTGGGGGGGGGGACAGACAAACGGACACGTCAGCGGGAGCCCCCCAGCCCCCCCCCGCCCGAACGTGTGGGCGCCCGGACGCCTGGGCCCCTCCGTCACCTCTGAGTCAGCCTGTCCGGCGGCTCCGTTCCCTCTTTCCAGGCGGGACGGGGGCGGAGGGGCACCCGGGACAGGGTGGGGACACCCAGGGTGAGGGGGGGACATGGAGCACCCAAGTGTGTGCGGCTGGGGTGGGGGGGGGAGCCAAATCTGTGCCCCCCCGGACGCCTGGGCCCCTCCCTAGGTCCCGGCCAG